CTATTTTTTAATTTATTTTTTCAAACCAACTTTTGAAACCTATTTTTTCATTTGAAATATCACACATTTCAATTCCTCCTTAGAAGTACCATGGCAGCCAATTTTCAACATTCTGTATGTAGAGAAGGAAGTCGAAATAAGGAGCAGATCCTTATTAAGATTTCTGCTCCAGAAATGGTATGGGGTTTATAGCAAACCCCCTTGCCCCAAACTAAACTTTAACCGTACCGAAGTTAAAGAGGGTTATGCAGTTGATTTAGATGAGCCTGGGATCTTAGCTTTAATTTATTAAAAACATGCTGCTCCAGAAATGTGAAGAACAGTAGAGTATTTTTCATGGACAGCTGCTGTAAAATAACACAGTGAACTTAATCCTTTGTATATTCTGCAAGTGTAATACCTAATTTCCAGTCAATGGAAATTCCCGGTGAGTATCTGAAGAATAGCCTTACTGTTCCCGGGGCTATTTCAGTCAGTGACGTAGTGTGCACATTGTCAGAGATACATGTTTGCTACAATAAGACATTATACAGAGGTTCCTCTTTTATTTACTTAACTTGATGGCTGTATTCTTGTCTGTTTAGGATCCCATGTCAGGTGAAATCTTAGTTCCCATTACCTCAGATTGCCAGTTGTGCTTTACGGATAGCTTCCCAAATTCTTTTGAAGGCCAAATCCTTCTTCCCCATTCCTCATCTCCACCTCTGTACTCTTCATCCACACACAGTCTCCATCACATAAATTTCCTGATTCTTTGCCTCAGTCTCCTTTCTTTCTGGCTTCTTGTCCTGCTTTCTTTGGCCAGTCAGTCCAAGTGCTCTCCCATGCGCCAGTGTCTTAGTAACTCTGTCTCTGCACCTCATCTCCTCACTTTTTCCTAGTTCTAGTGTTCCAACTTCTCTAGTTCCCTGTCTTGTATTAGTTTTTCTCCCCCAGTTAACTGGACCCCAGTTTCACCATTTTCTTTATTTCTCCCAAGTCATCATCTCTTTTCCCAGTTTAAATCTCTCCTGTTCTTTCTAGTTCCCAGTCCCAGTCTTCTTGTTCAGTCAGTTCCAATCACCATTTTTGTTTTTGCCTGAACAGCCAAGAATGATAGGCATCACAGGAAAAGTTCAGTTTCAGCTGTAATGCTGGGCTCAAGCATGATCAAATGCTCTGGGGGAGTAGGGGTGGAGTGGTGGCGTAAATACAATAGAGCTGGTAAGAAAATGCTAAACTGTTGAAACTACAACGTTCAGCAGGAACATTTCCACGAATTTCCAACCAAAGCAGGTACATCTCAGTCTGAAATCTCTCTGGCTTCCTGTCTAAGTGCTCACTTCCTCCGTTTCTCAGCAACCTGTCCAAGTTGTTGCTAGAAGCCCAAGCTCTCAGACTTCTTAGTTGCCCACCAAATGAGGAGCTTCTTGAGCGCCTAAAACTTGGCCTAACTTGAGCAGGGGGGCCCCCTGACTGTTGCATCCCTTTCTCCCTGTCCCCCAGCTATGGCCCCAGCATACGTCGCTAGGCACATCTTTTTGAAGTACTAAAACACAGTGCAGTAACTGCCTGTACTGTATGTATGGGCAGCATACACTTAAATTTCCCTATGGCACACTATAAGCAGGGAGCATGCTGCTCTGGCGATATAGGTAATTATCATCTATAGACTCTGTGTGATTGCTACCTCATCATAAGGCAACATGTAGATGTACCCACTGAGCCTAAACAGGTTGACAATCACTGGATTGGAGTGTACAGTTTACAGACACATTGCCATTACACGAGTGAGATCTGATCCACATAGGGTCAGGTGTCATATGTTAAATACATGACTGCTTTTATTGTTAATGACAGCTAGCCTTCTTCTTCCTCTTCTACACTATAAATTAACCTTTCTATAAAACATGACTGTTTTATATGCTTGTATACCAAGGAACAGTACAGTACAAATTTTACCAAGCTTTATAACAGGATATGCCAGTGCTACTTGTAGGACTACTTAAGCTTAGATGTAGCACTCTGCTAATGTGACTAAGCTAAATTGGTGCTTTTACATGAGATTGTGTTCTGCTGTGTAGACGTACTCAATAAGTCTTTACAGCAAAGACTTTTGTCTACTTTTTTTGTTTCTCTTTTTTTGGGAGGATGTGGGGCGTGGGAGTAAGGTTTTAACATGATCTCTTTTTTTCCCCTCAAGTTACTTTGGTATATTTAGGTTAGGTAAAAATTCCCAGAATGAACTCTTAATCAGCTTTGAAAATCTGCATATGGGTACAAGCAGGGTCATTTACAGTTGCATTTCATATAGCGTAATTTTGTATTTGTTTAGTGTCTGCATTGGAAATTCCTTATATAAGTATTGTACTGGATTGTAGGATTAAGGCCTAGTGTGTGGGGAGAAAGCAGGAGCATTGAATATATATATATATATATATATAATCTTATATTTGTGCTAGAGTAAGTAAATGTTTATGCATTTTAATTTGCCTTTATAAGTAGAAGATTAAAACAGCTTTATCTTGTCCCATAGGTACAAATAGTACTGTATGTGCTGACTGCTGCTGCTGGAGTAGAAATCTGGCACAGGCCTATCCTGTTTGGTTACTACATTGTAGATATATTGATACCTTTGATTATCGGTAAGTCTCCAGAGTTGTGAAAACAAATACTCTTTTTTCATAACCTATTTTATAACATATTTATTGCTTTTTTTTCATGGATTAATACTTCTCAGCTACTACAAAAAAGGCATGTATTTAGAATTGTTTTTATAAGGTTAATAGTGGTATAATTTAGAAAATCTGTTACAAAGAAATTGGAAATTTTCTCCAAAATTTTCCTCTTTGCATTCATTCCTTCTGATGCTTACTAACTCACAGCTGACAAACTGAGGATCTTTAGGTCCATCAAAATGCTGGTGCTTTTGACTGTCTGACCTTCCAAAAACTCAAGCGTAACTAATGGCACACAAGTAAAAGCATAGCATAGCATAAGTGTAATGCTTTAATCCATGGTACAGTAGCTATTACTGGTTAAAATCATGTTGGGAGAGGAGGAGAAATATGGTTGTTTCCTGTTTAAAAAAATGTTAATTGACAAAACTGTAAGTCTGATCAGCAAGCTATTTGGATTTTAAATTTGTGTTATATAAAATGCTTGTGGAACACAATTGATACATTTCACTTCCTCCGTCCCCATGGTATTATTTAATAGTTTCATAGTTTCATAGTTGGTAGGGTTGGAAGGGACTTGAGCAGATCATCAAGTCCGACACCCTGCCATGGGCAGGAAAGGATGCTGGGG